AAACATATCTTTTTTTTCTTCTCTTTTCTCTTTAGCTTTCACCTTTTATAGTGGTAAGCTCCTTCAATATCCCTCTCGACACTATGTTATTCATACTATCTCTTTTATCTAATTTATACTTCTTCATATTGGCTCTAATTTTATGGCCCCATTGAAGTTTTGGCCTTCCTTTACGTTTATTCGTCACTTCCAAACTCTCAACCTTATTTCCTATGTAGTTCATAGGCCTTCTCATTGTATGTCCATACCACCTAAGTCTGTTTACCATTATCTTAGTCTTAATGGGCACTACCTTTAAACTTCGCACCTTATCCTTTCTTGTTACCCCAGCAATCATCCTCAGCATTCTCATCTCCATAGTTTGTAGACTTCTCTCGTCTGATTATTTGGTTGGCCATGTTTCCGAACTATATAGAATAGTTGGTTGTACTATGGAACTGTAGATTTTCCCTTTCAATTTGTGTGGGATACTTTTGACAAAGAGCACTCCAGATAAAGATCTCCACTTTAACCACCCTTGATTAATTTTACTCTTTATCTCTTTCTCTGTTGTGCCGTTTGTTTGTATAGTGGAGCCCAAATATTTGCAGCTTTCAATTGCTGCAAATATCTTTATATATAGTATGCTTATAATATATAATCTTCAAAATAGGGTAAATAAAAAGAAATATGCATAAAAACTAGACAAATACAATCAACTAAATGCTTTTATTAAAAAATATCAAGATTTGTGATTAATTTCAAAATCAATAATATTAACAAAATAGAATTGTTATTATAAATATTTTGGTCAATTTTTTTTGCATTTACATCATCATATTCAAATGGCAGATACATTTTCAGCAAAATAAAGCTTCATACTTAGTATACACTATTATTGGGTTATTGAAAAATGTGGCAACAATTCGCACGATATATGGCCCATTCAGCATTCTTATTCACCTTTTCTATTATATACCATCTTGAGTATAAAATAATATATATTTTATCATTTTTGCAGCATCAGAAAGACCATATGTGATCTAATCAAACCATAGGAGTCTTGTTTTCCTGTAATCTTCATACTTATACATCTAATTATTTTTTAAAAACTTAAATAGTAACATATTTAAATTTTAAAAAAAATAATGTTCTGAATTTAAGATATAATCATCAAAATTCAAGGTAATGAAAGAAACAAACCCATATACTATGAATATTACAAAAAAAATAAACCCATATAATCAGGCAAAATTTATTATCATTTTTAAATTATTATTAAAAACAATTCCCATCTGGTTCAATTGTTTCCAACCATGATGGATCAGTTAGCACTTTTCCTATATTTTTGGGGACTTTCTTTTTTGCTGATACTAAATTTATGCGAGAAGCATGATATTTCCTCCAAATATTGGTAGTTGGATTATAAAATTTTTAAAATGGATACTGAATGATTTTCACTAGCATGTCATCTATGGCCTAAAATATTTAAAAAAATCTAATTAATCACGATTTTTAAAAATTACAATTAACTGTAAATAATTAAAAAATCTTATAATATTTTAACTTTGAGTCTGAGTGTACAAAGTCTACAAGGTTCACTTGAAGATCCTTCAAAAGGCTGAAGAAGATTTTTTATCATATAATTAAAAAGGTTTATAAATTTGCCTATATCAACAATTTACCTTTGGTAATAATTATTTTTGGGTCAGTAAAATTTTGGGAATTAAGGTCTTGATCTTGATAGCCAACATCATGTTGTAGTTAAATCACTTTGTCTATGAATTTTTTATTTATGATTTTCTTTGGAATTGTAAGCTTTTTCTATATAATTTACAATTAACAATAAATAAAATCAAAATACTTTTTGCGAATCCATTAATGTAAATCCTAATCAGGGGCGGACTGGCCATAATACTAGAGGCATTTTGCCCACGAGTACACGAGAAAATGTCGATTTTTAAAGCCTATCATAGGAAAATATCAAAAAAGAGGCCGATTTATGCTCACGTTATTTTCTCTTATCATTTATTTATTTTTAATGATATCTCTTAGAGGTCTGCAATGGGCGGGTTTTTATACCCGCCCGCCCATTTATCTATAAATTTTGTTCCCGCTCACCCACCTAATGTTTAAAAATTATTTTAATGGCTGGTTTGGCTCTTTATATATTTAAATGTATATTTAATTAAACATAAATATGCAATATTATGAAATAAAACTTATTTTTAATTAATTGAAGTCTTTTTGCCCATTTCGCCTTAAAAATATCAAAAATTTACCCGCCCACGCCCGCCCATTTAAAAATTTTTTTTTAACAAGACCGCCACCCGTCCAATGTTATAGGTATTTATAAAACTTCGACCATGCCCAAGTATAGGGGCGTGGGCAGGCAAGCATGGGCGGACGTGCGAAAAACCCGACCAATGCATTCATCTAATATCTCTATTATTTTAATATCACATTCCTTGAGAATTATCATGCCATTTACTATATTTTAATCCATAAAATATCAATAACGTCGCTTGACGCTATACATCATTACCACATGCTTTTCTTTGTTTTTTTCATATGAAGTGAAAAGTCTTTCGTTTGAGTTTGAGTAGAATGAAAACTAAGTTTTGGTGAATTTTTATATTATATTTCTTGTTCTTAATTCATTGAAATTAAATAAAACCCAGGTATAATAATTATAATAAAATAAATTTTTGATCAATTTGATTTTCTAATGTTTCTTTTTAATATTAATTAATTTTTATGTTATTTTTTTACTAATTAACTCAACGAACAGATTGTTGAAATCTTACCTAATATTTGGATTACTAGATATCATTTGCAAAAATTTTCAGTAAAATTTATTGTACAAACCAAATATAATAATCAACGGGGTGGGAGATATATCTTAATATTAAAGTATACCCTAATATTAAGATATATCTCCCATTATTTATATGATCATTAAATTGAGATGTATGTAAAAAGTCAATAACAACTTATATATATTTCATGCGCAATATTTGAATCCAAGGCATTTTGATGAAATAAAATAAATATTAAAGGTATTTCTGAAAAAGCCTTGGAAAAACTAGCATATTGGCAAATATATTTAGTTAAATTACGTAACGAATTGTGTTCATTTGCCAGTGTATTCAAGGGTTTAATAGCTTAAATGAAAGGACGATGATATCGTATCGTGAGGAGTCAAATGAAGAAGATGGAGTATTACAATATGATAATACCTCAGAGTGTGATAATAAATGTAACGAGAAGTGTTTAATATGCGTATATGAAATTCTTAACAGATACAATATGCATACAAGTGCATACACTAATTTATTTTTGGCATATGAATACATTTTAACTTTGTCATTTACGCAATTGTGAGAGAACACATTAATAAAATTAAAAAAATTTTTAAATAAGCTGAGAACTAATATAGGCCAGGAAAAATTAGAAGTGTTTATAATAATGTCAGTTGAACGAAAACTATTATCGCAGGAAATCAAAAATATTGTTTAATTGCGCAAAGATTCAAAGTTAATGAGAGATTTATCAATGTAGAAAATTATAAATTATCTAAAATTATTTTATTTAAATCATATTTATATCTATTTACAATATGATCGGTGCCTGATTTTATAAGTGCAGCAATTTTATTCTCTGTGCAATATTGTATAATTGCAATAATTTTATATGTGTAATAATTGATTTTATATATTAAAGCATGTATTATTTTATATTTAACATGTGATGTATTATTTGATTTATAAATATAATATACACCATCAATATGATTTTAGATGTGCAATTTTTAAATAAAATATTATGATTATCATGATGAATCCATTTACGGGAACCCACCGAAGGCGGAACAAAAACAAGCCTTCGACCCGCTAGAAAGAGAGCGAACCGCTATAAAAAATGCCCACGACACAGTAGCGTCGCCGGTCCGCCCCTGATCCTAATTTAGCACTTTTATTTAATTTCTTAAGCAATTGTATTTCTTTCACGATATTATTTATACATCCATTTTCTTGATCAAAAAATATTGGGTAATTGCCTTTATCAATATATCTTCGTAACTTTTTATCGATTTGGAAAAATAACCCTTAATTCATAGTGAAGCGCAATTACGATTTAGCAGCGATATCGTAAGCAACCGATCAGCTGGCATGAAAAGGGGCGAAATTTTTTTAATTACATGAGAACGGCCAAAGTATTTATTAATTCTATTTTATCTTTATATATATTATATAGGAAACTTATAATTACATTCTAAAACATGTAAAATCATACACAATAACCACAAATTGTATTAAATATCCTATAACCATTGAAGTAAACCTCATGGTAATAATAAAGTACTTTATTATTTAAATAAATTTTTTTATCTAAGTATTTAGCCTGTCTGTAGATACTCTACTTTAGCCTATTCCTTCAAAATGAGGATTTCAACCATCCTAAAAATTATTAGAACAAAATGCCTAGCTATATGGTAAACCTTAATTAATATTCATATGCCACCACTAACTTTGTGAGATTAGCAGAGGTGTAATATAGTGTATTTATATATATTATTATTTAAAAGGAGTTTGAAATAAAGTGGAATTTACCTGTGTTGGTAGTATTGATGGAAAACACTTATTACAAAATCTAATATAAATTTATTATGCTTATATTTATTCAAAAATCCTATATTATAGATAAATATTATGTTTATAAATATATTTTTTATAAATTAAATTATATCTTATTTTGTATTTTATATATTTTTTAATAAGAATAAACTTACAATTAATATAGTCTAAACTCATTATAAAATATAAATGTATGGATATGTCACTAAAAAAGCTATGTAGTATAATTTTATTTAAAAAAAAGCAAATAAGGTATTAATATTTATAAAAATATATTTTATTTCAAATAATATAAATATATATAAAATATCTATTTCAAATAATATAGATTATACAAAATAATTTTATTTAATTTATACATAAATATAATATATTAAAATTGTGTAGAACATCATATATTTGATTAGTTAAATCATTTTTCTGCTTTGCTTTTCTGTACATTTATCCAATTTTTCCCTCAATATAAGACATATGCCATATTCATAATTTTTATTTTTAAACATCTAGTATACTTTCCTCTTCTAATTTTATAAGTATTTTAAGTTTATCTATTTTCATAAATTAAATAATAAACATAAATTACCAATGTCATTAAACTTTCTCTTAGGACATTTATAATATGAACTATGACAACAGAAGATATAGATCCTTCAATATAAATAATATATTTTTAGATATTAACTACCAGACTCAGTACCATGTTAATTGATGCAGGACTTTTGGGAATAATTACCTTTCAATGTATTGTCACTATCAATGAGGTCAGCTAAATAATAATATCAATGAGTTCAGTTTAAATAAATATCTTACCAATTCAAATCTTATATTTTACATCCTTTATCTCCCCTTTATTTCATTGACACCTTTGTTAAATCTGGTGGTATAAAAATGAGGACTTTTGTAATTTAAATAATAATTTTATCTTTATTAATAGGTTTGATATTTTCAAAAAAAGTCCAGAATTGAGTAATTTCAGATTAAAAAATGTAAAATATGTGATATATTCACCAAAGGCGGTATTTAACGAATCAATATTTCAAAATCAGGCGACAAATACAAATGATTTGTTTTGTGACTCAAATTGCGCGGTTAATTATAAATGCGATATGATATTTACTGTATTTTGTATTCATCACGTCTAAATCGCAACCGAATATAATTTTATTCTAAAAGGCCATTTGGCTTAAGTCTATCATCTTCACATGAAAACAGTATTTTAAAGATTAGACAAATATTTTGTTTAAAATAGGCAATAGACTTTTTATTTCATACTATATAATAATAATTAGATATAGAGTATTTTAACACAGAAACGAAGATGATAATAATTTATTTTTTAAAAAAACATACATTTTTCACGTCAAGTCATGAACTCAAGTCGCGACTCGAGTTATAAATTTGAGTGGTGAACTCAAGTCGCGACTCGAGTTTTGAACTTGAGTCGTAAACTCAATAAATAGTTTATTAAATTTTATGAAACATTGCTTATATAACTGTTATTTATTGGTTAATTTAATTGTGTAAAACCCAGATCCGTGGCTTAAGTCTAAAAATCAACTAAACTAGCAATGAGCACAAACCACAAGCACAACCAATATATTTTAAGTTGTTTTTTCTTGACCTTATTAAGGTATATAAATATATGATTATTAGAGGCATCAATCGATAGCTAATTAGAACTATCGAATAATTAGTAAACCAAGCGCCACCTCTCTATGGCAATTACTACGTAGGTCTAGGTTAGAATTATTATCGGCACCAAATGTTGATATGATGAATTGGTATCAAATAAGTCGAGTTTCACCTAAATATGGTGTATATAAATTTGACTTATGAGCGGGGGTATAAAATAATATGGTTACTCGTATAAAATTTTTAACCTAACAAGATGTTTATTATGAAAATCGCGAAGAAGGGGAGGGGGGGGGGTGTTACTGCTTAAATCATACTGTGATGTATATTGCCGACTGTTTTTTAGATGAACCAAAGCTCTATTATGTCAAGACAAACATTGGTTTTATTTTAGACCTTTTTTTTATCGGGATAATTTTTTATCCCACGAAAATAATTTAGCTGGCTCACTAATATTATATTCCTATCCAGGCCTGAAAATTTTTTTTCAATAATTAATTTAATTTGAATTTATTTTTTGTTTTTTCGAAATTTTCCTCTTTTAATAAAATATTATTTGTTTTCATGGTACTTTTAAAATAAATAAGATCAAGAGCTGTTTAAATTTTTTTTTATAAAAAATGGGGGGGGGGGGGGGGGGGTAGATGAATAGCATACAAAAATTTTTATAATTTTATTTCAAATTCTTTTTTCTTGATGATTGAATATCCCTTATAACATTAAAATTAAAATCTAAAAATTCTATAATTATATTTTGAAAAAAAGATTAAAGGAAAATAATACATTTAGATTAATTCAATTTATTAGTCACAAATCACAATACACATATTATTATGTTTTTTATTTTAATTTTGAATGAATTTAGCGCCTAGCTGGCACCACCAATTTTTTGTATATATTTTAAAATTATTATTTTAGAAAATAAATAACCAATCCCTCCCCTTGTTTCTTTCTCCCAAAATAAATCTATCATTTTAAAAAAAATTTTGGGCTATTTTAAAAAGTTATAAAAAAGTAAAATTTTCTTGTTTTTTTCACCATTAACAATATTTATTTCTTTTAAAGATAATTTTTTTTATTTGTAAATAAATTTTTGATAATATATTTTTTCAAAAATTTTATTCTTATTTTTGATTACAAGTGCAAATTATTTTGTTAAATATAAAAGAATACATACTCAATATAAAAATCAATTACAGATAAAATTATTGCAATTACACAATATTGCACAGAAAATAAAATTGCTGCACTTATGAAATCAGGTACAGATCATATTGTAATATAAATAAGATTTAAAAGAATTAAGATAATATATCATTTTTACGTTAATAAATCTCTCATTAAGTTTGAGCAAATAAACAAAAATATCTTCTAGTTCAACCTGCGCTAATACTTCTCGTTCAACTGACATAATTAAAAACGCTTCTAATTTTTCTTGGTCTATATTAGCTCAGCCTATTTTTATAATTTTTAATTTACTAAATGTTCTCTCGCAATTAACCTCCGCAAATGACAAAATTAAAATAAAATGTATTCATATACCAAAAATAAATTAGTGTACGCACTTTTGTGCATATTGTAGCTTTTAATGATTTCCTACACGCCTCTTAAATACTTATTACATTTATTATCAAATCATATTGTAATATTCTATCTTCTTCATTTAACTCCTCACTTGTACATATGATATCATCGTCCATTTCATTTAATTTTGCTATTGAAGAGAATAACGAAAATAACGATTATGGTGAGAGTAAGTAATAAAACATTTTATTCACTAACTTTTCTCTTTTTTAATCGACTATTTATATATTTTTTACAAACTAAAATTAGACTATAATATTAAAAAGGTTAACATATAAAAATAAAATTGTAACTAAAATAAAATATAATTTGAATAAATATAAGTTGAATTTGAATTCATAACATTCTCCTTCTTCTAAAAAGCCTTCACATAAGTCTAATTATGTTATCATAGTTAGTTTATTCATAAAGTTGTTTCATAAGTCCATGTAATCGTTGGCTTGTATCAATCGTTGGTTTGTTTAAATCGATTTTGCACGTTGGTTTATTTAAATCGTAAGCTTGATTTCCTTACATAAGTTGTCTCCATAAATCATAATGTTGTTATATAGCTTGCTTGGTAGTACTCAGTTGTTATTATTATCATTTTTCAAAATTGTTATTATCAGTAAGTTGCGAATAATAGTTCATCAAATTGGATATAAGAATAACCGAAGAATGATAAATCAATAAGATTGTTATTTAATATTTTCAGCGTTTTGATTTTTTGCGTTTTAATATTTAATTTATTTTATATTTTAAGTTATGTAGTCTTTTAGATAAACAGGTTTTTGTTTAATTCGCACAGGTCTAGAAATAGGTGGTATATCGATATTATCAGTAATTTTTATATTTTTGTCCAGACTTCCCTCCTTAAAAGAATCCTTAGAGTCATAATTAATAAGTGTGTTAAAACAGTTTCTAATTTTTATATGATCTAAATGTCTCCTCAAAATACCTTTCTCTGTCTTAATTTGGAACATCATGTCACTTTCTTTATGTGTGATCATACCTTTGCACCATTTATCATCACCTTGTACTTTGTACCAAAATAAATCTACTACGTTAAAGGTTCTATTTCGTGGTGAAGTAACGTTTATTTTATTCTCCTTCTCCTCCAACGGTCTTAATAAGTCCCATTTAATTCTAATATCTCGATTAAACATTCTCTGAGATGGTATAACTCCTGTAGTATCATTACGCGTATTTCTGTAATTAAATAAAAATTTGCCAAGTGCGATATCTAGGTCAATTTTAATATTCCTTTTCATATGTGTTTTGAACGTTCTCACCATGCGTTCTACCTGGCCATTGGATTGCTGATGATAAGCAGATGTGAGCACATGTTTGATACCAAAATTGTTGCAAAATTTTTCAAAATCGTTACTCGTAAAGTTAGTGCCGTTATCAGTAATTATGGTTTCAGGTATTCCATATAGCGAAATAGTTTTAAAAATTTCTTTTAAAGTAACATCAGTCGTAATATTTTTAACAGGAATTATAATTGGAAATTTGCTGTAGGCATCGACTATTACCAATTTTTTGTGAAAAACGGACCCTCATAATCTATGTGTATCCTTTCAAACGTTTTGATTGCCGAAACCCATGGTTTTTGTATCTTTATAGGATTATCATGATATAGTTACAATCGTCACAGCTTTTCACTTCCATTACTATGTCATTGTTTATACCAGGCCACCACATGTAATCTTTGGCTAAGGATTTGATTTTTCCTGCTCCCAAGTGACCTTCATGTAATGACTGTAGTATATTTTTTCTCATAGAAGACGGAATTATGATTCTGTTGCTTTTGTAAAGACAATCCTTAATTATACTTAATTCCAAATCAATGTTTTTATAAATATTATTCATTATAGGCCTGTTATTCTTAATATCATTTATGACTTGTTTTAATTCAATATCTTTCAAAGTTTCATCACGAATTTGATTAAAATTAATAGGGAAATCTCCTATTCATTTATTATAGTGATATTTATAACAGCTTCATCATGACATTCTTGTGGTAATCTCGAGAGACAATCAGGAACAACATTATATTTACCGGCTTTATACTTTATATTAAAATCATATCCTCCTAATGTAATATTCCACTTCTGGAGTCTTAAGGACATAGTGCTATTATCCTTAAGACCCTTGGTAAAGATGTGAACTAGAGGTTTATGGTAAGTAATAATTGTAAATTTCATGCCGATTAAGTATTCCTGGAACCTCCTTATAGCAAACATAATAGCGAGAGCCTCACCCTCAATATTGGTATAGTTCATTTCGGATTTTAATAAAGTTCTTGACGCGAAAGCTATAGGTTTTTCTTTACCATATTTTTCAGTATGAAATAATACAGCTCCTAAACCACATTTCGATGCGTCAGTGGCTATCCCTATAGGTAATTCAGGGTTAAAATATGTCAAAGTAGGTGGAAGACTAATCAACTTCTTAAGATTATTAAAACTTTTAGAGTGTTCTAGGTTCCAAGCCCATTTTTCTTTGTTGACAATCTTATAGAGAGTATTTCTTCAAAATTTTTCAAAAATTTTCTATAGTAGCCAGCCATTCCCAGAAATGTTGATCAGCAGCTGATTTTGGTTCTGGCATATTAATTATTGCTTCAATTTTGTCGTGATTAGCATGAATCCCCTTAGCGTCAATATCATGACCCAGGAACCTCACTTTGTTTTTAAAGAACACACTTTTATTGAAGTTAGGTATTAGCCCATACGATGATATTCTATCAAACACTTTTTTATGTTGTTAAGGTGGGCTTCATCGTTTTT